ATCTATTATAATTTATTTTAAGATACAAAAAGCTCTTTTTTTAAGAGTCAGAAATAATAGTGTGTATTTTCTTTTAACCCATATTTCTATTTACTTATCCTATAGAATTTTATTATAAAAAATGTATTTGTACGCTCAAAAGTCCTACTTGATTATCCTATCATACTGCTCTGCAACAGAAAGGATATAAAAATTTTAATTTTGACAAAATTTCCTGTGAGAGAAGCTACTATGTGTTAAAATATTTCTTCTGGAATTGAGTTTTGGCAATTATTATTATGTATAATTGATCAAGACAACATGATTCTTTATTTTAATAATCATTAAGTATAAATAGTACAATTTTCTTGGAAATGCATCAAATAATGAGTTAAACTGCCTATCTATGAATTAATATGATTTATCCTCATAATGAACCAGGGTAGAGTATTGGTTCTATCCCTACGTTCATTTTTATGAATTTAACCAGGGAGAAAATTCATTCATATAAAGTAGCAGATGAGAATGGAAGCTCTGTCACAGCAAAATCACTGAATTCTTTAAATTCCTTCTGGGTTATAGGCTAAAAACCACATCATCACTTATCATCAAATAATATTGTTAATAATCTCTCTTAGCTGACATTTTAATTAGGTCTGCTTCAAAATTTGTTTTAAGACTAGAAAAGAATCTGTCACCCCATCATTAGAGTATTCATTTTCTCAATTCCTGTGAAGTATTCAGAAAAGATCCTATAAAGAAAGACTCATCATTTTCTTTCAAAGGCTTCTTTTTATCCTAAGACAGTGACACAGGATTGGGAAAACGGAAATACTGTTCATTTCAACATCTGCTGGCAGGAAAAACATTTTTTTAATATTTTAATTTTGTCACTTGTTTTAAATGTATTTCTGAAAAAACAAAACACTTCAGAGCTAAAGATTTACCTCATTTAAGGAGAATGTCCACCATTTTACATAAATGGCAAAACCAGTTGTTAAAGCCAAACCAATCAGCCACTGGAGGTTTACTTTTTTCAGAAAAATATGACTTCTCTAATTCGAATAAACATGTTAACACGTCCCCACAAGCCCCATCTCATTTCTGAATTCTAATTCTAAAATTTTGATAACCTACAGACCTTTACATGAGCTTGTGACTTGGATGAAATAAGGCACTGCCCCACTTCAGCATTTCCCTTTTGTTTCTTACCTCCGGAATGACACTTTAGTAAGAAACAAGAGAACAAAAAGGTAAGGTCATATAATGAAAACTCTTACCATTTTGAAACTTCAGAACACCTCAACACAGGCCAATTTTGAACATGAGATGTTACCCTTAATATATATATACATACAGGTGTAAGAGACTCTGAAATACAGAGAAGTTTCCACTGTGGTACGTTCATGTCCTTGTCCCCACAGCTAACCCTCTCCACACCATCCTGCACTTGATTTTGGTCGCACACTGTCCCTCTGCACTCCTCTGGATAAAATCCAAAATGACCAAACAATGGCTGCTAATAGCTAAGAACAATTCCTTCTTCTTCTGAGTTTCATTCTTGACCACTCCCCTTATAAAAAGTTATATGTTAGAATGTTCCTTTGACATCCTTTCTTTCTCATGCCCAACATTTTAAAATAAAAGCTTACTCTTTGCTCTGACTGGTTTTCTTCCAAATAACACAGAAAAAGATAGGAAGCTCTACCTAATACCTTAATTAATGGAGGTTTCACTAATACCAGTAATTTATTTGAACTGTTCCTTTTTTCTGGACACCCTGGAGTATTTCCCACCTTCTCCTCCAGGGCAATACACCATAAAAATGCTAATGAGGCATCAGAGTATGTCCTTTAAAGTAGGAGAAGGGCAACTGAGAACAGGATATGATTTTTTAAAAAAAGAAGCATACTACTTTGCTACCTTGACCAAAGGAACTTTGTCAGGAAAGAAACATACAGAAGTTGACAACTGTGAAAATGATTCCCGTAGAATTATTTGCATACTGAAGTTTGAAGAGCACTGGTTTAGTACGTCTAGAGCATAAATTACAAGGAAAAAAGTCATCATGAGCCATCTTCTGTTAGACAGCAGAATCACACCTAAAATATAACATGCACATGAATTATCAGACAGCAAATATAAATGTAAATTTTTTTAAAGCATTTAAAGAAGAGTGTTTTAAAAACACAGTTAACAAAAGATTATCAGAAATGTCTAGCTGATTTAGAAACAAAATGAGAACATCTAGAAATAAAAAATGGAAACAGAAACTCAACAGATGGGTTCTACAATAGGATATGTGGAGGTGAACACAGACCTAAAGAAATTATACAGAATGTAGCACAGAAAGAAAATGGATACAAACTATGAAAGCATTAAGAGACAAAGAAGCTAAAGGAGAAAAATGCAACACATACCTAATTAAAACTGCAGGAGAGAATAGAGATAGCAGAGAAGCAGTACTTGAACAGATGATAGTAGAAATATTTCTAAATTTAATGAAAGACACCAACCTACAAACTCAGGAAGCCAAAGTGCCAAATAAGGTACACAAAAAGAAATCAAGGCCTAGAAAATCAGAACATGAACCATAAGGAAGAGATTAATAAATTGGCCATATTTTAAAATTAAAAACTTTTGCACATCAAAGGATTTCATAAATCAAGTGAAAAACCAAAGTATAAACTTGGAGAAGACAATCACAACGCATATACCAATGGATCAGTAGCTAGATTATTAAGAAAAGACAATGAAATAGAAAAACGGTCAAAAGCAATAAATAGGTATTTCAAAAGGAAATCACAAATGGTTAATTAAAACATGAAAAGGTGCTCAACTTTATTAAGGCTCAGTGAATTGCAAATTTCACTCGAATGAGACATCATTTCACACTCGTCAGATCAGCAAAAATTTAAGTCTAATAGCAGCAAATATGGTGAGTACATTAGCATTCATTTTACTGTTGCTTACATACATTATACATGTTCTTTAACATGCATATGTTTCATAACAAAAATATTTTTTAAGTGTCACCTAGATTTAGCAATAAAAATGTTTGTTCATGACCCTGCTGAGAGCAATTACAGTGAAATAATGGGCATGAAAACCAGACCACAATGGGCTGAAAAAGAAAAGGATGTAAAGAAAACTACAGACAATTATTTCAAGCTTATCTTTGAGGCTGGGCAGACAGGACTGCAAGTTTAGAGGAATGTCACAGTGAGAGCTCCTTTTATTTTTTAAATAAAGGAAACTGGGGCAAGTTTAGAAAGAAATAGCAAAAGAGGGAAGATAATGACACGGGAAATAAAGGGTCTCTGGGCAGTCACAAAGGTATATAATACAGAACCCATAAACAGGGATTAGTTTTACACAGAATCAAGGGTTCCTATTTCATTGTTATAAGAGATAACCTCTTTGACTTTAATCACATCGTTTTTCTCCTTGCTCTATCACTCCAGTTACAATGGTCACCTTGATCCTCCTTCAAGCCAGACTTTTGTGCTTGTGACCCCCTCTATGGAGAGTACTCTTCCCCCAGTGATGCAAAGCCTGCCTGTCACTCCTTTCAAGTCTTGCTCAGATGTGAACCCAGTGAAGCTCTCCCTGACCAGTCTAAAAATGAAATCCCTTCCTCACTTCCTACCACCCTACTCCTGGTACTCCCTATACTTTCCCTGCTTTATTTTTCTTTGTAACCTTCTAATATTCTATATAATATACTCATTTTACTGCTTAATCTCTCCACCCCATAGAATGCAGGAACTGTAGTCACAGTGCCTGGTAATGCTCATACAGGTAGAATCTTAATAAATACAAGCTGAATGAAAGACTAATGGTCCCTACTTGAGGAACCTCAAAAACAAATATAATGAAAAATGCTGCTACGATTTGAAGCTGAGGTAAAGCCTTGAGAGTAATCAACTTACTGCCCACAGAAGTGGTGACATTTGAGTTAGACCCTGAATCATAAGGAGTTTGCCAATTGTTGAAGAAAATAAGAAGGTCCAAGACAGTGAAGAATGTGGAGGTTTGAAAGTGCCTTGCAATTTGAGAAATGAAAATGGGGTCACCTGGAGTATGGCAGGGATGACGGTGGACCATTTTTTAGCTAATCTTATAACGTCCACAATAGAGAACACATTATATTGAGTTTCTCAAGGCTAAAAATCCTTTTCAGAAGCTTTATAGTTGCTTAGTCACGTGTTTTACTTGCAGTAACATTAGAGTATGGAATATGGAATATGAAATAAAGTTTACCGGACCTACTCTCTTCACTGCAAAGGAAAAAGTGTCAACAAATTTAATCTGTGTTTTTCATCACCTGTAGATTATAAGCATCACAGTCAACCAAAGTGAGAGTATTGCTACCAAATGTCTCAACCCCAGGTATTATTCAAAATCAAGACTATAAATTCTCATTGGTGGGAGAGGGTAGTTTGAATGCAGAAGGTGGAATGGACAAATCCAAGTGCTTGTTTTGTAGCAGCTACTCTCCACTTACGAATTTTTGAATGGGCTTGTATGTTGTCCTAATTCACCTGCACTTATTACTATAGTTTCAACTAGTCAATCTTCCTTTTGTCCATATCACTACTGTCTTTGGGACACTTACCTTCGTTTTAGCTCCAACTCAATTACTTAACTACCCAGGTTATTATCAGGATTCCCTGGTGGCGATAGGAGGCTCTTGTGTGTACACGCAGAAGAAAAAACCTTAGAACAGTGTGTTCCAGAGTTCATGAGCCCAAGTATTCTGTTTAAAAATACTTAAGCACAAGACTGGGTAGGTGGTGGACACCATGGTCCTTTTGAAGTTTTGCCTTTCTGGGGCCTTCGAGGGGGCGGAGAGAAGGTGGAGATCCCTGAGGAGGGAGGGGCCCCAAGGGATTCCCAGGGCAGGTCAGAGGTCAAAGCTCAGATCTAAAGCGAGGGGAGCGGGGCCTGCCTTAAGAACCAGGGGCTGGTGTGTGGGGCCCGGAGGGTAAGTAGGGCCGCGGCGACTCGGAAAGACTCACAGTAATAGGCCACCACAGGGTCCCGCTTGTCATGCTCCTGAGCCGTCCTCAGATGATGCTGTATGCTCTTAAACTGTGGAGGAAGCGGGGGCAGCGGGGGTAGCGGAGCAAGAGCCGCCATCTCCACTCCAGGAAAAAGCCCTTTTTACTAGCCGGCCACCGACACTTCCGCTTCCGTCTGGGAGGGTGCACGCACTGGCGCGCAGGTAAATCCCGCCCATTTTCCTGTTGCTCAGCAACATCGAGGCAACTACGGGTTCCCAGTAGGGCCAACCTCAGTGCGCCTGACTCGTAGCAGTTACAGAGTCCAGAGGAGGTGGAGCAGCTTGGCTGTGATACCGCCTATGGCACCAGCGCTCCCTGCTGGCCGCTGGCCGGAGGGAGAAGAGATTTTGTTTTATTTCTCTTCTGTTTCCAGCCCCTACCCGCCTTTTGTGGCTGAAGGATGGGTAGAAAGGGAAAAACAAAAATAATGTTTGTTGATTGGAAGAAAAGGTAAAGACATGAATTGCCTTTGGCACCCTTCAGGAATTATCGTTTCCAGTACCTCAGATTATATTAATAGCGTCCATAGAATCTTTTCTAATTTTAGAAACTTTAAATTCAATTCTTGTGTAAGATGAGAGATGATGTGTTTCAATTTTAAATTACACTCTTCTGTATGGGCACATTGGATAAAATAACCAGATACTTTTTCAACATAAATACTAACACATTAAGCTTACAGAAAATTGAGCTTTTGTTCTGAGCTGGAGAGCATATACACTAGTGAATGAATAATTTGTAGAGCGTTTGTTTCTGGAGAGTAATGAGCGATTTGCAAAGTTATTTGACCGTTACTATCTTGTCAATGCACAGATAAGGCGTTCAGGTAGTAGTTCTTGCTCAATGCTGCCAACTCATACCATTGTAAGTAGGCATCAACTTTTCCTTCTACCATCAGTGACGTCATCAGTTCTTTTTCTCTCCTCTCCAGCCCATGCTATCAGGACTTTACACTTTATTTACCTACTCCAGTAACCTTAATCTTTATTTCTTTATTTTATCTCACTCCCCAGTTTTGAGAGTCCATCTTAAAACTGGTTTTCATTGGAATCACACCATCTCCAAGAAACAAGATCTCAAGCTCTGAAATTTCCCTCTGCCTACTATTTTCTAATCAACACTCCACCCTATCCCCACCCCAACCTCAGCAGAACCTACTCTGTGTCCTTGTATTGTCTCCAGTCCACATTTTTGTCTATCCCTTTTTGCAGAGTATATCACCTTAGTCAGCGGGCTGCCTGTTTTACAAGAAACTTGAGTTCTGTATTCTCCCCAATTTCAGCAACACATTCATTACCAGCTGAGAACGTATGTACTATGGACTGAATATTTGTGTCTCCCCGAAATTCATATGTTGAAACTGAATGCCCAAGGTGATGATATTAGGAGGTGGGGCCCTTGGCATATGATTAGGTCATGCAGGCAGAGCCCTCATGAATGAGATTAATGCCCTTATAAAAGAGACCCCAGAGAGCTAGCTTGCCCTTCCACCATTTGCAGATACAATGAGAAATCAGCAGTCCTCAGCTTGGAAGAGGGCTCCCACCAGAACCTGACAATGCTGGCACCTGAACTTGACCATCCAGCTTTCAGAACTGTGAGAAATAGATTTCTGTTGTTTATAAGTTGCCCAGTCTGTGGTATTTTGTTATAGCAGCCGGAACAGACAAAGATAGTATGGTTTCTTTCTCCTGCTCTATTCCCACTATCTGGTCAGAAGTTGCTAGATTGGTAGAGAAATTAATGAAGCAAAGCAGAATCATCTCTCTGTCCTTATGATGTCTCATTTATTCTTTCCTATTAGTTCTTGATTCTCAACTGTGGTTGTCCTTAAAGTTCACCCCAGAAATTTTTTAAAATTAATTTATTAATTTACTTATTTTTGGCTGTGTTGGGTCTTCGTTTCTGTGTGAGGGCTTTCTCTAGTTGCGGCGAGTGGGGGCCACTCTTCATCGAGGTGCGCAGGCCTCTCACTGTCGCTGCGGAGCACAGGCTCCAGACGCGCAGGCTCAGTAGTTGTGGCTCACGGGCCCAGTTGCTCCGCAGCATGTGGGGTCTTCCCAGACCAGGGCTCGAACCCGTGTCCCCTGCATTGGCAGGCAGATTCTCAACCATTGTGCCACCGGGGAAGCCCGAACCCAGAAATTTTTTAAAAGCTCATGTCTAGGTAACCCTGCCCAGGCTTATGGATTTAACTGTTCTGAGTTGGATCCTAAATATCAGTATTTTTAAAAGGTCTTTAGGAAATTGGCACACTCAAGTTTGAGGGCCAGTGCCCTAGTGAATCATCAGTACATGGCTGATGTTTTAAGCCTTCTCCACTCTCTTCAAGTCAGATCCTCTAGCCTGATTGCCTTGGTCAGAAACTGCACTGCCTGCTACTGAAGTAAAGTTCACCAAATATGAATTGTTTCACCTCTTCCCTGCCACAACAAAGCAATAATAACTAGCTAGCAGTTTGCCAAGTATCTACTGTGTATTGGGCATGTTTCTAGTGACTTTAAATCAACTCATTTAATCTTTAGTACAACCCTGCAAAGAAGGTGTTATCTTTTTCATCATTTTACAGGTAAGAAGAATGAGACAGAATTTATTTAACTTGCACCAGGTCACAGCTAGTAAGTATGAGTGTAAACAAAGTAAATATTAACAACATGAAGTTGATTTTTCCGGTTGATGATTTACAATTAAGAATTTACTGATATTTTACTATGAAGAAAGACCTAACTCTCTTCCATCCAACTCTGATCAGTTGCTGAAGGACCTGATGTCACCCTCCAGGTTGGGGCAAGAATCTTGGCAAGTTAAGGGAGGGCAGAGATAGGGGATAGGAGCAACCACAGGAAGAAGAAAAGGGAGAGAGACCAGAACTGACCAGTGTTTTGGTGGGAAAAGTTAAATGTTCTGCACCATTCCCTGGACTCCAGTGTACTCGTGGTCTTCTCACAGCAAAACTTTCTGTTCTAATTGTGGTTACCAATATTTTGATGGGAAATGACAGGGCTCAACCAATGTAATAAGGGTAGTATATACCTATAGCTGTCTCTCTTGGGTACACTCTCTATGGTAGAAATTTGAGACTCACATTCTGATTGTTTAGCATACCCTAAAATAGAGTTGTTTTTTTCCCCTACAGTTGCTATCAGAAGACTGAAAGAGAAGACCAATGACTTGGCCAGGTCCATATACACATCCATGGCTGAGACAGGGGTAGAGGTAAAAAATTGCTGTTTATTTTTTCAACATGGATATCTGGTTGTTCCAGCACCATTGAATTAAATTAGATAATTTAAAAAAACAACAACTATATATGTGCTGAACTATTTTTGGTCTCTATTGTTCCTGTAATCAACATGCCTATCTGCATACCAACCCTACTCTGTTTTGATTATGTACCTTTGTAGTAAGTTTTGAGAATACATAATGTAAGTTGTCCACTTTTACTTTTTCAAAATCATGTTGGCTATTCTAGGTCTTTTGTATCCCATATGAAATTTGAAAGCAGCTTATGAATTTCTACAAAAGCTTTCTGGGGTTTTGACTGGGATTGTGTTGGATCTACACATCAATTTGGAGTGACCGAAGTTATAAAAGATTAAGACCTCTAAACCATGAACTTGGTTTATTGTTCCACTTATTTAAAACATCTTTAATTTCTTTTTTTAAAATAAATTTATTTATTTTATTTTATTTATTTTTGGCTGCGTCGGGTCTTCATTGCCGTGCATGGGTTTTTCTCTATTTGCAGCAAGCAGGGGCTACTCTTCGTTGCGATGCATGGGCCTCTCATTGAGGTGGCTTCTCTTGTTGCGGAGCATGGGCTCTAGGCGTGCGGGCTTCAGTAGCTGTGGCTCATGGGCTCTAGAGCACAGGCTCAGTAGTTGTGGCACACGGGCTTAGTTGCTCCAAGGCATGTGGGATCTTCCCGGACCAGGGCTCAAACCCGTGTCCCCTGCATTGGCAGGTGATTCTTAATCACTGCACCACCAGGGAAGCCCTAACATCTTTAATTTCTCTCAACACCATTTCGTAGTTTTCATTGTACAGGTTTAGCACAGCTGTTGTAAACTTTATCTCTACCTGTTTCATACTTAATGAATAAAGTGGGAGAATTGGTAGGAGGAGTCCACCCTAGGTACAGGCAATAAAGGTACTACATCTTGTTTATCTTTGTATTTGAACTTTTAATGTGGTACATGTTTAATAATCGATACTATGCAGCTATTTGTTGAATGAAGGTAAATTGGATTTTTCTTGTGCTTTCCTGTGGAGAAAGCCTCAATGATGTAAAAATTAATGTAGAAATTCATGATATCAACCATAGGTTGAATAATGCTTAAGAAAAAATTGAAAACCTCAGTTTTTGACTATACTTATTTCCCTAACAAAGCACCAGTATAAGGCAATCATACATAAAGTTTTTAAATGATATCATATGGACATGATTCTTGGTAAGCCAGGCAGATAAAAAGAAATGCACTGAATTAATATAAAATTACCTTTGACAATGTTGTGTGGCAGCCTGGATGGGAGGGAAGTCTGGGGGAGAATGGACACATGTATATGTATGGCTGAGTCGCTTTGCTGTGCACCTGAAACTATCACAACATTGTTAATCGGCTATACTCCTTTATAAAATAAAAAGTTTTAAAAATTTCCTTTGAAATCATTTCATAGCTATTTAGGAAGTCTAGCTTAATATAAATATAACTTACTATTTCAATAATCTTGAATATAGAAACTATAGTTGTAGGATATCTATGAGCACAGAGGGTTTATTTTTTCCAACAAGCAACAAGGAAACCATGCACAGTATTTTCCATAGCATTTTTTATTTATTTGGTGGCCACATTACCATATCATTTAATATTAAAAATTTCAAGAAAACAGTATGAGTATAATATTAAAAATGTAAGTGCTCCATTTCTTCAAGTTAGTCATCAAATTATAGAATGACTCTTTTAATAATTAATTGAGAACTTTTGCACTTAAATAAGTTATATTTTACATGAATACAATAATAATTACATCCTCAAAGTTTGTGCTGCATAGTTAAGTGGAAAGGGAAATAGCTTTATA